AATATATTTAGAGAGCAGCAGGGAAAAGTTGATGAAGAAATAGGGCCATATTCTTCAAGTCCAGTTCAAGCAGTCTCTGGCATTGGCAGGGATGTTAATGTTTCAGTAGGGTCTCAGCAGTCAGATACAAAAGATTCTTCTGTCTATCCTCATTTCACTAGAAATAGTGATGAAAATTCAAGTGTTGAGAAGACAAGTTCAATAGAATGTGCATCCAGCATTCAACTGCAAACTCATAATACATCTGATGAAGAAGTGAAAACTGAGCAAGAAAATCAGGAGTTACTGCATGAAGTCACTTTGGAAGAAACACTGACAGATGAGACAATGAATGTGGGTGATTTACAAGTATCTTCGGACGTAACAGAAGCTGTGAGTATTTCCTCTAATTCTTTTAAAACAACTGGCAAAGATACAATTTCCATCAGTGAAGTAACTGCTTCTGTAAGTTCCCCTTCAGAAGAGGATGCTTTAGAGGTACCAGAATTCTTGGATAAGTCTATAGTGGAGGAAGAGGAAGATGATGATTATGTGGAACTGAAAGTAGAAAGTAGTCCCACTGAAGAAGCCAGTCTACCCACACAGCTCCAAGATAATAGATTATCTCCAGCTGCATCTGAAGCCAGTGAAAGACTGCAAATGTTTGACAATGATAACAAATTAATATTTCAAGGGGAAGAACCTGTTACTAAAATGCAAACTGATACTGAAACTCAAGATTCTAAAGATTCTGGAATCGTGACTATGACAGCATCAGCGTCTTCAGCTACTTCACCAGAAACTACTGTTTCTGAAACAGCTGTACAATCAGATACTGGTCAGATGCTGGAGGAAGGAAAGAAAACAACTAACCTTGCTAGAGAAACCAAATTAATTAATGACTGTCATGCTAATACCTTCGAGGCTTTTGCTACTTCCGAGCAAAAGATTGCCAAGTTGGATGTTTCCAGTGTTGCTACAGATACCGAGAGACTGGAATTGAAGGCCAGTACAAACATGGAAGCACCTCAGCCTCATCGACCTGTGCTTGAGGTAATTATATATATTGTCTTCTTGAAGTGTATTTGCACTGAGTTAAAATAGAGCCAGTGTGTATATTTGCGTTTTATTTTATTTTGGATTGGGTTCATATCCTATTTGCAATTATGTAAATGTAATGAACGTAAAGATTTTATTTCCGATCGTTAGCACAGTGTTTGGCAGTTAGTGTGAGTTCATTAAGTGGCAGCTTTTATTATTATTTCTACCACAGCATTACTAAAAGTTACCACTTTCAAGTTTCAGGATTGGTATTATTTTAGTTTATAAAGCAAATATTGGAAACATTTGCATTTTACCTTTTATTTGATTAACCTGGCCATAGTACATTAGTTTTCCAACAAAATCTAGGGCTACCTACCTGCCAGTGTATAACTTTAATTACAAAATTTTGTGGTTTAAAATTGTACCATAAGGTCTGTAAGAGAGAGGAGCCTTTATGAGATTTAGAGGCACAGCCTTCTCCTCTATCAGTATCTCAGAGTGACTCATGAGACAAGGGTTGGTAGCATGTTGTCATTTTCCACTTTATTCAGTTCTTATTCTCTCTGTCCTTCCTTTTTTTTTGTTGGTTTATTTTTCATTATATTGTCTTTATTTTTGTTCATTCTTCATTCTGGCCACTTTATAATCCAATTATTGCCTGGATTATAAATACCGCCTTTCTTTTACACTAAGATTCAAAACTTAGAAGTGCTGCTTCATTCTTTGCTACATAGTGGTAATACTTACATGGTTCCAAGCTAATTAATGTTGAATTGTGGTAGTTTAGCATTTTGGTAACTTTGTTTAAATGAACTAAACTATTATTTTAGTATTACTCATTGATAGTTTTTCTCTCTCTAATTTGGTTATTTAGTGTCTTAAAATGTGATTATTAGATGAATTGCATAGAAGCTACTAAATTATTTACTTTTCTAATGCCTTCCTTTGAAGTTGAACTAATTTTATTACTTTTAAATTTTCTGTGTTAGATGTCAAGGCAACAGGAGCAACCAGGGCAAGAAATAGCACCAGATGCAGTTAATGGACAAAGGAGGGATTCCAGATCTACTATGTTTCGTATTCCTGAGTTCAAGTGGTCTCAAATGCATCAACGTTTGCTCACTGATCTATTATTTTCAATAGAAACAGATGTACAGATGTGGAGAAGGTTTGTCCATTTGTTTATTTTAGAAGATACGTATAAACCTGGTCTTTGTATTCAAAGAAGTTTATGTAAATATTTTGTAATTAATTTCAGACATTTGGTTAGAAAGTAGAATATAAATTATTCTATGGCAGGGTTTTACTGTATTAATTTTTATTCTCCATTATAAGAATGGAATCCCTGTGTAGATTACAAAAACTTGAAAATCAGAGATTTCTGTCATGTAAAAAATTTGCTGAAGATTTCTTGTAGCATATTTTATAGCATGGAATTCACCAGGAGGTAGGTCTACACGTGGGTTTATTCCTGGATGTGCTAAAAAATAATTGTGGTAAGTATAACATTATCCATGTCTCCAATGTGTTTTTAGCATTAAAAAATCTGTATATTTTAGATTATCCTTCATTGTATGGTTTATGATTTTAAAAGTGCCTAATTTATTTTTATTTGTACATGACTCTTCTTCTGTTCAGAAGCATTTTATGGCATTACCTAAGAAAATGTTAGTAGAAAATTCATTTCCAATAGCACATTTACCATCGTTTACCTCCTAGTTTTTTGCCTCGTGAATTCTCAATTTTGTTCCCAGTAAAGGATAATTTTCTTCAACTTTTTATATCAAGTGTAAAATGCATAGTATGTATGTTTCAGCACTGAAGGAGGGCATGGATAGTAACTGCTGATATGGAATGGTCTGTTTCTTCTCAGGAAGTATACACCCCCAGTATGCCTCCTGCATCATTATCTTTCTTCAGTTTTCAAGATGAAGCACAAGCACCTTCTTATCCTCCCTCCCCTCAAGTAGGCAAACTGTGGTTTCCTTTCTTTAGCTTTATCAGTAAACATCATTTATCTTTGGACAGCCATTCAACAAAGACAGTTATGGACTTCGTGAATAGCAGTGATAATGTCATCTTTGTACACAACACAATTCATCTCATCTCTCAAGTGATGGACAATATGGTCATGGCTTGTGGGGGTATACTGCCATTGCTTTCAGCTGCTACATCGGCTACAGTAAGGACTTAATTACTATATAAAATTGGTGTGAAAACATGAGTGTTATGCATCCTTGTGACTAAAACTTGAATGTGGTGGTTACTATGCAACATAGGTGCTGTAAATCAAAAGCAACAGGATCTTTTACAATTACTTGAAAGGACCTTAGAATCTGTTCCAGGAATGAAGGGACTAAAAAAAATGTTGATTCCGTAGGGATGAGTCAGCTAGTGAAGAATATGGTTGACAGTGTTTCACCTGTATGTTACCATTGACCTTTTTTTTTTTTTTTGATGAAATAAGGAAATCACCTCTGTTGTACTAGATTTCTGAAAACCAAACCTCTTAACAAAATTTAGAAATTTGGGGAATATCTGGTAAAATTAAATTTTTCTCGGAATATAGATGTAAATGTCAAACCTTATTTCTTACAGCATGAGCTGGAGAATATTGAACCTACTCAAGGCCTTTCGATAGAAGCCTCTGTGACATTTTTGCAGAGGCTAATTAGCCTTGTGGATGTGCTTATATTTGCAAGTTCTCTTGGCTTTACTGAAATTGAAGCTGAAAAAAATATGTCATCTGGAGGAATTTTGCGGCAGTGTCTCCGACTGGGTGAGCTGTTAAAACCCAATAAATAGGAATTTACTTTAAAAGTTTTCAATAATTCAGAGATTAAATTGAAAATTATCTTTTTTCTGTTGGTGAGAAAATATGTGCTAGCCAGTTTGTCATATGGCTACTTTTTAGTGTATTTTGTATTATGTATTATGTATTATGCATAGTAGTAGTTGCCAAGTTGGATAGGGGGAGAAGGACATATTTTGAAAAATATATTATACGAAGGTGATTCTGGTCAGCAATCCCCTCCTCTGCCAACCTCTTTTTGCTCTAAAGTAGTATTTCTGAAATTGTAAGGTGATTCATAAACACGAATCACTTGAGGATCTTGTTAAAATGTAGATTAGATTATATAGGTCTGGGGTGAGGCCTAAAGTTGTCTACCAAGGCCCAGGTAATGTTGATGCTGCTCCTCTTATAAGCACACTTGAATAACAAGATTCTAAATTAGCATGATTCAAGAACCGTCTTTATTCAAATAAGCTGTGGTACTTTGTTAAAGCAGTTAATAAAAACCGTTAAATCTCTGTTCTTTTCCTAGAAGAACAGAATCTCCTGTAAAAGTAAAAATATGTGAAATGACATTTTAGTGTTAACTGGCCTTCCTTAGGGAAGCAAAAATTTTTTTTTCTTTGCACAAGGTTCCCTGTACATAGTTCTAAATTACATGCAGGGAATTTGTTAAATGATATGCTTATTAAATGAAGGGAAGATGGTGAGAAGAGGAGCTCCAAGAAATGGAAGCAAACCATTAGGAACCATGGCCGTAGGAAGACAGATCAAAAGTGAAGGACCTATGAAAATACAACATCAGAAGTAGAAAACCTAATTAGTTAATTAAACATTTTTCTATATTTAGTAAGACTATCTGTTACATAAACTAATATATACCTGTACGTAGACTTTTTGGTACAATTATTCTTTTTATTCAAAATGCTAGTCAAAGTACTTTTAGACCTAGGATGCTCTAAAGAACTTGTTATAACTATAGACAGTTGTTTTAAAATTTTAATTAAGAAAGATTCAAATTGGTGAGCATAACAAAAGCTATCATTTATTGGTTACTGTCATTTGTCATTGCTGATTTTCACAGTGAGTCAGTAATCATTTTGTTCTTTTTATTCATGAGGAAATTGAAGATCAGAGAAATTAAGAAATTTACCTCTAGCTAAAAAGCTGTAATAGGTGAAGTTGGAATTTGAATACTATAATTTTGTCTAACCAGTGCTACTCTTTCTGTTGTAGTATACCTCTTTAAACTTTCTGTTAGTTATGTAATTAAAATATTTAGAACTTACTGCTTTTGTATATGTTATTTTCAAAACCTTTTCACTTTCCTAGAAGGAGTACGTTTCTAGAATTAAAAATTACAAGGCTATACCAGAAATCCTTCACTTTTACTCAAGAATCATTAGATTTAGAAGCTAGAGAAATTCTCTGTCTTCCTTATTTTCATAGCTGTATAAAAGAATTAAGAGATAATTCAAGCTACCCCAGCATTCTTTGTTCCTTTTTTTTTTTTTTTTCTTTTTTGAGACAGAATTTTGCTCAGTTGCCCAGGCTGGTCTCAAACTCTTGGTGTTAAGCTGTCCTCCTGCCTTGACCTCCCAAAATGCTGAGATTACAGGCATGAGCCATCACGCCTGGCCTAAACTGTTCTTATGTTAATATATACAAACGAGACTTGGAAAGTGTCCAAGATCACTTCATAGAGCATGGTAGTCTAGGTGAATAATCCAAATGTTTAATCTCTGGTCTCCACATTCCTGGTGTTTTCAGAGGTTGGGGGTTAGAAAGTAGGATGGCAACAGTAAGAGTAACCTGTATTGTTGAGACTGATTGACACTAGGAAATGTGGTGTGGTTTAAACTTTGTAATGCAGACCTGAATTTGATTTTATGCAACCTGTGACAAAAGTGGTACAAAAAGTTATAATATTTTCCTGGCCCTGCTACCAAATTTGACAAAGTTGCATTCCACATTCTCTCTCGCTCCCCCATCCCTTCTTTCCTTTCTTCCAACTTAATTGTTGCTCTCTTTTGGTTCCTTTCTGAACACTTTCCTATCTAAATTCTTACCTCTGCTAGCCAGATGATAGGCTGGAGATACTTAAAATCCCCACTTAAGCTTGCTATTTTGTTTCTCATTTACTCCTCTATCCTTGTTCAGTTCAAATACTTTGAGTGCTACAGATTTGATTGGGAATTGAGATGATTACCTGGTATCAAACAATTCATAGACAAGTGTGCATGACCTAATTTGTCATTTAAAATAACCTAACTGCCTGATTTGCGGGAGCTTTAGAGAGGTAATTTTTGGACTGTATATTAATGAAATTTTCTTCTCTTTCCCCTACTTTCTAAGCAGTTTTAATGAAAGCCAGTAAATGCTAGATAAATAAAACTTCCTGTAAATGCTGTACCTTCATCAGTCTCAATTAGTGTCATGCTCTAATGATACAATATAAGAAAAACATGAAGGTTTCCAGTTTAACTAATTTAATTTAATGACGAGAATAGAAGATTATTATCCTAGACTAGTTCATGGCAATGCGATTTGCTCTTTTTTCTTCTACTGTTCTTTCAATTCTTTTCTTCTCTATATTTTTCTTAATAAAAGATTGCCCCAGCTAGCTTAATTGAGATCTAAGAAATAGTAGCCTATTGTTTAGATTCCTGAACTAATTCTCTTTAAGCAGACCCTAAAATATAGACCACTAGGCAATAATGCCTCCCGAGATCTTAGCAGGGCCATAACAGGGAAGCTAACAATATCAGAGAACAAATAGGTCATAAAATCTACGGACATTTTAGGAATTTGCCAAAGGTAATCTATTTTGAATAATATCTTACATAAATCATATTGTGTAGATGATTTTTATCTGTTCTATAATCTTAAATGTAATTTTCTTTTCTTTCCCAATCTTTTCCTTACATTATAGTGTGTGCAGTAGCAGTAAGGAATTGCTTAGAGTGTCAACAGCATGCACAACTGAAAACAAGGGGAGATAAAGGCTTGAAAACAATGCAAAGCTTTATTCCTTTGGGGAAATCTGCAGCAAAGGTAAGTAGACAGTATAATTATATTTTTAAAAAGCATACTCTTATTTTTCAATTAAGGTCTTAAATTACTTGTTCATTCTGACATAAAGTTAAATAAATCTGACAGAGATCCTAAAATAGTTATTTTAGACTGTGGACATAACATTCAAATATTTGTGTTTAAATATCCAGTAAAGATTTGTTTATACTTAATCTTGTCTACTTTTCCAAACGTTTACTTTTCTTATTTCTGTGATACCTTTTCCTTCAAATATGTCAATTTTTCCTGCATGACTCTCTTCCACCCTCTCCTCTCCAAAAGTAGACATACATGCGGAAACAAAGTGGGAAAAGAAATGTTATAGCTCTGCTTTTCTGGTTCTTGGAATACTATGTTTATTTTTTTTTAGAAATCTGTGTAATGTGTGTTTGTGTTACACATATATATTTTTTTATCTTAAATAGAGTCCAGTGGACATTGTGATGGGTGGTATATTTCCAGTAAGAGATCTTGATCGGCTTCTACAAGACATGGATATTAATCGACTTAGGGCTGTTGTTTTCAGAGACATAGTAAGTCACAGTATTTCTTGCACATGCTCTCTTAGTTGATACATATTTCATCTTAGGCCCAAGTATTGAGAGTGAAAACTCTTTGTGATATAAAATAGTCCAGTAGTGATAGGGAGCTCTAGAAACCATTTCTTTTGACAATGATTTTAGAATCTTTGAATATTATGTAGGATTATCTATATAATGAGAGCTAATAGATCAGAGTAATGATACCAAGAAGAATAATGCATTGTTACATAATGAGTGTGTAAATACTTTATATTAACATATACTCATTAAGTACAACAGGTTCTTGAGCTGTGTACCTTTGTAATTACCATTTTATAGATGAAGAATCTGAGGTACATAAAGCTTGAGTAATTTGTCCAGGCTAATGTTTCTAGTAAATGATAAGAGTCAGGATTCAAACTCAGCAGTCTCAAAACTCCAGAATCCATGCTCCAAATGTAATGAAATGCTCAACTTCTGAATGGCATATTATTTACTGAATGTTGGATATTTTTCCCTCAAAGGTATTCTAATGTGATAAGAAGGTGCACAATGAAATGTTGTCCTCAGTGTGGTGTGTTTAATTTTTTAAAGACGAAAAACAGTTTTGTTTTAGCTGATTTTGATACAGGATATGACAGATTTTCATGTAGAATTTTAAAGTCATATAGAAAGTGTAAGGATGAAAATAAAAATCATTTGTAATTCCATTTATCAGCATTTGAAGTACTATCATTACTAAGTATTTGTTGAACACTTACTGTACATTTAGTATTCTGTGCTCTAAATATAAAATATATATTCCTTATAAAGTTTATAATCTCAATTTTTATTTGTCCCTCTTCTTTCTCTAGTAGTTTAGTGCTTTCTTGAGTTCTTGACTGGGTTTTTATATATGTATAGAATTTGGAATACTATCACTACTTAATAGGTATTGAATACGTACTGTGTGTTAAGCATAATACTGGGTGCTGTATATGTATTGTCACATTTAATTCTCACAGTAATCCTATGAGGAAGATAGTAATATTTGGTTATTGTGCTTAAGGTCATATAATTAGTAAGAGGTGGAAGTGAGTTTAGGACCTAGGCAATTTGATTCTTCAATTATTTATTTTATTTTATTTTTTTTGAGGCAGGAGTACACTCTGTCACCCAGGGCTAGAGTGCAGTGGTGTCATCATAGCTGATGCAATCTCAAACTCCTGGGCTCAAGGGACCCTCTTGCCTCAGCCTCTGGAGTAGTTGGGAACTGCAGATGCATGTCACCATGCCTGGCTAATTTTTCTATTTTTTGTAGAGACAAGGTCTTGTGCTCAGGCTGTGATTTTTGAAATTTTGATTTAACCACAAGGCTATATTGCTTCCCTATATCTCAGTTCCTTAATACCTGTTATTATTCCTTTAATTAAGAAACCATCAACTTTTTTTTTCCACAGAACCCTTTGACCGTGGTCCATTCTGGGACCAAATGTTGCTGCTTTCTTGTCTCCTCATTTTCTTTCATTGGGCAGGTTCTGAGTCTATTGCCCCATAACTTTGTAATTCTTAGAATGGCCTTTCAAAATCTAGAATACATGATGTTACTCTTTACTTTCAAAATTCTCTAATAGCTTCCTTCCTATAGCACTTAAAATGAAATCCAAACTCCTCACACTGCCTCTGTGTGATTTGGCTTTTGCAGAACTTCTTAACCAGTTATTATATCACAGTAACTGGAAACAGAATCAAAATATCTGTTTTGTTTACCATATGATTACTGAAAGTAATAGATGATTTTGCATATTTTATAATTATAAAAGTTATATATTCACCTTATAGGAGTTTTAGAAAAAAGAAAAGACTCTATTCTCCTAACCACCTCCCTGAGTTTAGCCTCTTCTAGCGTAAGGGACCTTTGATGAAAAAGAAAATGACCTAAGACTGAAGGTAAAAAGAAACGATTACCCTGAGGAGAAGAGCTAAGGTTTTTAATCACTCTAATCTGAGTTCAGATTTGCTTTTTTACATGCTATATACCCTTTGGTAATATACTTCTCTAAACTTCATCTTGTGCAAATTTGCTAATGAATATATATAAAGTATATAGCACAGTGCATGACTTAAGTAAGTATTCAATGAATGACAGCTATAATTGAAAACAACTCTGTTTCAGGAGTTAGGATTTAGATATAAAGATTTATAGAATATTTTTTATTTGGAGTCAGCAATCAGGCATATATTATAAATTTCGTATAGTATAGTAGTTAATAAGCATTAAACATATTTAATAGGCTAAATAAGGCTTTAGATAGGCATAAATAATTCATAACAGATTAAGAAGTTAAGATCAAATAAATTATTTAGCTATATTTTTAATACTAATATCATTAGCAGCAGTTACAATACATGGTAGAACTGTGTGGCAGACATGGGCACGTCTAGAGAAAAGAGATGGTTAATAAAAAAGGAAAAAGTGTACATTTATCTTTTCCAACAAAACAAAGAAGTTGTTACACGTGAACCTACAAAATACCATAGATTTTGTCAGGTTGCAGATATGTTTGAGAATTGCATTAAGTGGATATGTTCAGGTAAAGCCTGATATCTTATTTTTTCCTGATATTGATTGTATCTAAAACTTTTGACACTGATTATTAACTTTTATTCTCATTTGTACCATTCATTTCTATTCATTAAATACAAGCTCAGTGCTCTAACCTCTGAACTATAGAGTCTATTTTGTTAGTTTTCGTTTAGTGGCATGCCTCATTTTATTGTTTTTTGGTTTATTGGTCATCACAGATATTGCATTTTTACAAATTGATAGTTTGTGGTAACCCTGCGTCAAGTAGTTCTGTCAGCGCCATTTATCTGACAGCATGTGCTCACTTGGTGTCTCTATGTGGCATTTTGGTAATTCTCATGATATTTCAAACTTTTCCATTATTATTATATCTGTTATAGTGATACATGGTTAATGATCTTGATGTTATTATTGTAATTGGTTTGGGGCTCCATGAACCACACCCATATAAGACAGCAAACTTAATTGATAAATGTTGTTTGTGTTCTGACTGCTTTACCAACTGGTGGTTTCCCTATCCCTCATCCTCTCCTTGGGCCTCTCTGTTCCCTGTGTAACAACAATGTTGAAATTAGGCCAACTAATAATCCTACAGTGGCCTCTAACATTCAAGTGAAAGGAAGAGTCACACATCTCTCACTTTAAATCAAAAGCTAGAAATGATTAAGCTTAGTGAGGAAGACATGTTGAAAGCCTAGATAGGCCAAAAGCTACGCCTCTTGTGCCAAACATTTAGCCGAGTTGTGAATGCAAAGGAAAAGTTCTGAAAGGAAATTAAAAGTGCTACTCCAGTTAACACATGAATGATAAGAAAGTAAAACAGCCTTACTGCTGATATGTAGAAAGTTTTAGTGGTCTGAATAGAAGATCAAACCAGCCATAACATTCACTTAAAGGCAAAACCTAATCCAGAGCAAGACCCTCACTCTTTTCAATTCTGTGAAGGCTGAGAAAGGTGAGGAAGGTATAGAAGAAGAGTCGGAAGCTAGTAGAGGTTGGTTGGTTCATGAAGTTTAAGGAAAGACACTGTCTCCATAACATAAAAATGTAAGATAAAGTAGTAAGTACTGATGTAGAAGCTGCAGCAGGTTATCCAGAATATCTAGCTAAGATCCTTGATAAAGGTAGTTACATTCAACAACAGATTTTCAATGTAGATGAAACAGTCTTCTGTTGAAAGAAGATGTCACATAGGACTTTATAACTAGCTTGAAAATTTCAAAGGACAGGCTGACTGTCTTATTAGGGGCTAAGCAGCTGCTGACTCTAAGTTGAAGTTGAAGCCAATGCTCACTTACCGTTTGGAAATCCTAGGACCCTTAAGAATTATGCTAAATCTACTCTGCCTGTGTTCTTATCAATGGAACAACAAAGCCTAGGTGACAGCACATCTCTTTATAGCATGGTTTACTGAATATTTTAAGCCCACTGTTGAGACCTACTGCAGAGAAAAAAAGATTCCTTTCAAAATATTACTGCTCATTGACAGTGCGTTTGGTCACCCAAGAGCTCTGATGGAGAGGTGCAAGGATATTAATGATGTTTTCATGCCTGCTAACATGTCCTTTCTGCAGCTCTTGAATTAAGGAGTCATTTTGACTTTCACATCTTATTATTTAAGTAATACATATGTACCATTGCCATGGTAAAGTGAATTGAATACCCCCTGGAAAGGATTCACCATTCTAGATGCCATTAAGAACATTTGTGATTCATGGGAAGAGGTCAATACATCAACATTGACAGAAGTTTGGAAGAGGTTGATTCCAACCTTCATGGATGACTTTGAGGGGTTTATTCCCTTCAGTGTTGGAAGTCACTGCAAATATGGTAGAAATAGCAAGAGAACTTAAATTAGAAGTAGAGCCTGAAATGTGACTGAATTGCTACAGTCTCATGATAAAACTTGAAGGGATGAGGATTTGCTTCCTTTTTTTGTTTTTTGCTAATGTTTTTATTTTTTGTATAATTGGGGTCTTCTTAACTATTTTGCCCAGGCTGATCTCGAACTGCTGGCCTCAAGTGATACTCACAGCTTGGCCTCCCAAAATGCTGGGATTGCAGGTGTGAGCCAGTGTGCTTGGCCAGTATTTGCTTTCTAAGGATGAGCAAAGAAAGTGGTTTCTTGAGATAGAATGTATTCCTGGTGAAGATGCTGTTGACATTGTTGAAATGACCCACAAAGGCTTTAGAATTTTACATAAACTTAGTTGATAAAGCAGCTGCAGGGTTTGAGAGGATTGACTCAAATTTTAAAAGAAGGTTTAGTGTGGGTAAAATGCTATCAAATAGCATCGCATATTACAGAGAAATCTTTCGTGAATGGAAGAGTCAGTTGATGTGGTAAAATTCTTTGTTATCCTACTTTACAAAATTACCACAGCAATCCCAATCTTCAGCAACCAATCCCCATGATTGGTTGGCAGCCATCAACATTTTTAACATATTTAATTGAA